ACAGACACACAACAAAGAAAAGTCACCTCACAAATAAGAGGAGTTCTCAAAGGAAGTCATCCATATCAAATTCAAAGGCAACGAACTCTACTGTTTGAGGATGTGGGCTCCAGTGGTAAATATTTTCAAAGAAAATAGGAACTGATCCTGACGAGTCAGGGGAGGTGACTGCTAGAGTCAGTGATGAGGAATGGGCATGCAGAGACGGCAAATCCAGGAGGCGCCCTCCTGTGGGACCACAGGTTTCAAGTTAACCTTACTCTGGACCTGCGCTTTATGGGCAGTACCCTAGGACATAAGCCTTAACACTGTGGGATGAGAAAATGGGCCATTTCTGGAATAGACTTGCTGTAAAAGCTAGGCCACCAAAACTTGACCGTGCTGTTTCAGAGCCATTCGTGACCCATCAGTCTCTCCAGCAAAATGGAAGTGCAGCACAGCAGCCCTGCTTCATGTACTCACTTGGGCGTAAGCACTCTGAGTGACTTTCCTCAGGTCATCCTGGGCACCAGTTGTGATTCTTCCAAAGAAGATCTCTTCAGAGACACGACCGCCTAAAGTCATGCACATCCTGTCCAAGAGCTGCTCCTTGGTGTATAGGTATTGCTCCTTGGGCAGGTACTGAGCATAGCCCAATCCTTTGCCACGGGGGATGATGGAAACCTGGTGAGAACAAATCACAAAATGCTCCTTGGTAGAGAAACCCACTACCAAGTGTCAATCCAAGCAAAGTGTGTGTCTAGTCAGACAAACTCACCAATGAAAAGCTGAAAAGCAAGTGCAACGTTGGATGATTCAGCCTTGGAGAGAAAGATCGGTACCTGAACCTGGGAAAGTTCTAGAAAACTTTTCCTAACTTTCTGTGAAACTCAAATGAACCACTCAGTCTTTTTTTTTTTTTTTGCCTCCTTTAGGTCGAGGCTGGCCTTACACATTTATTTTATTTATTTATATGTGGTGCTGAGGACCGAACCCAGGGCCTCACACTTGCTAGGCAAGTGCTCTACTGCTGAGCCACAACCCCAGCCCAAACCATTCAAGTCGAGATGAAAGGTGCCTGGTGGGCTTGGTGACTCTTCTTGGAGACTGCGACTGCTGATCACTGCCATGGTAATTTTTTTAATTTAAAAAACCAGTTTGTTTGAGGGATGCTTTCTATACAGAAAACTGCACCTACTTTTAAGTATAAAGTTGTGAGTTTTGCTGAACATAACTTTCAACCTCAATGAAATCACAAAACATTATCCTACCCAATTCCCTTGCACTCTTCCCCAGTTGATCCTCCATACCCAGCCCCAGGCAAGTGCATGTAAATGCCGTCCTGTATCGGTCTGGTTTCTTTCCTGTGTCTGATACTCATTCATACTGTTGTGTGTGGACAGTTCACCTGTTTTCAATGCTGTGCAACATTCCATGTGTAAACAGATCACATGTCCACTGCAACATCAGTGTTGTTTTTAATTTGCTGATACAAATAAAGCTATAATAGTCTTCATTTGGACATGTTTTAATTTCTCTTGTTTACCTTTATGAGAAAATACCAAAATGTATGGCCACCTATGCTTCATTCCTGTGGGCAATGCAAGAGGGCTCCGCTGCTCTACACCTTACTGCCACTAGGGGACTCCTTTTCCAAATTGCACCCATTCCTGTGGTATTGCTCTGAGGTTTAATCTGCAGTTTTCTGATGAGTAAGATGCTTTTTATGTGCTTAATGCCCATTCATGAAATGCTTTCAGTGAACCATATAATCAAATCTTTTACCCACTGTTTTACAGGGTTGCTGGTTTTCTTATTGAGTTTTAAGAGTTATTTACATATTCCAGATATAAGTTCTCTGCCACATAGGTATGTATGTATATAAATATATATACATGTATAGATATATAATATAAAACACAAGTATTCATTCAATTTTCTTGATGGTGTCTTTTGAAGACAGTTTTAAATTTTAGTGAGATTTCACTTATCAACTTTTTCTTTTGTAGTTCACTCTTTTTGTGCCACAAAGATTTTTACTGTTTTCTTTTTTTTGTTTTTTTTTTTTTTTGGTGAAGTGGGGGCAGGGGTAACTGCAGGGGCCAAACTGAAGGCACTCTACTACCACTGAGCAGCATCCCCAGCCTATTTTAGTTTTTGAGACACGATCTTGGTGAGTTGCTGAGACGGGTCTTTAACTTGGGATCCTCCTGCCTCAACCTCCCAAGTAATTGGGATTATAGGCATATGCCACATGTCTGGTTTAGTTTTAGCTTTTGTGATCTATTTCAAACTCACTTTTGCTTATGATATAAGGATCAATATTCAAGTTTCTCAGATGAACACTGAGTTACCAGAAACATCTGTTGATAAGAAAACCTTTCCTCCCTTGAATTTTCTTTTGAAAATTCATTAACCAAATATGTGTGGGTCTCTCTGCCTATGTTCTATCCACTATCTCTGTACTGGTCCTCTCCCCAGAAAGCAAGTCTTCATTACTGCAGCTGTGTATAGGCTTGAAATCAGGTAGTAAACCACTTCAACTTAACTGCTTTAGCTATTACAGTGTATCAGTATTTCCAAACAATTTTAGATTCAGCTTCACAATTTCCCAAAAATATTCTACTATAATTATGATGTGATGACACTAAAACCACAGAACAACGTGAGGAGAGCTGACATAACATCCCATAAACACTCTATTTTTATTTGGATTGGGTTTATTACTTCAGTGTATAGGTCATACAAATATTTTCTTAACTTTATCCTTGTATATTTCGTGTTTTGGGATGTTCTTGAAAAATGCAGTTAAATTTTTATTTACTATTTTTTAATTGAATGTTTCTATTTTCATTTTTTTTCACTTTTTAATATTTTGAGATAGGACCTAGCTAAGTTGCTGATGCTGGCATCAAACTTGCAATCCTCCTGCCTCAGCTGCCCAAGTCACTGAGATTATAGGTATGCGCCACTAGACCCAGCTCTGTTCTACTTTTGGACATTTTCTAGTCCCTTTAAATAGTTTTCTGTTCAACTTTTATAGCTTATCTACAGCAGGGTTTGTGTAACCACCTCATTCAGCCATTACTAGTTTTTGCCAAATTCTTTTAAAGTGACACATCCTACATATCCTTTGTGTTAGTGAAACTCCCTCTAAGTCACTGCTCGTATGCTGAGCTGGCCAGCACTGTCCAGCACACACTGCTTCACCTTTAAGAGAGGGTCTGCATGCTCCAGATACCAGCCAGCAACCGCATGACCTGCTTCATGGTACGCCACTGTCTTCTTCTCCTCGGGCTGCAGAACCTGGGTTTTTTTCTCCAGGCCTAACAAAATAATAACAAAAAATCCTAAACAACTAATTTAGGGACAATGACATTAAAACACAGTTATAAAATGCTATGTACTCCTTTTTAAAGTAAAATGTACTTTGAAGACTTCCCACAACAATTCAAAAATTCTTAATCAAGAATTAAGGATCAAGTTTGAAGTATCCAACTATAGCAAAAATGCATTCACTATCCAGGCCCCCTTTATCCTAACTCTCCCACTCTTTTAGGCCACATATCCTGTTTGGGGAAATAAACAGAAATGTAAAATAAAATTCAGTAGTTAGGTTAAAATAAAATAAAACTGGTAGAAAAGAAAGAACTCTGGAAAGATTATCATGCTTACTCTTGAGTATTCAGGATCATTAAGTCATGGGTAAATAATGATGCTTGCCACAAGAGACCAATTGGAGTCTCTTCCTAATGGAAGGGAGATGATAAAAAAAAAAAAAAAAGTGCTGAGCTAGTTATAGAGCTAGAAATACCTACTCAGAGCTGGCTAGACCAATGCACCCGTTATACTACCCAGAAACCCATGGGATTAAAGAGTTAGCCAACAAAGTAGAACAGAGAAGAGAAGGTAACCCCAGGGACAGAGTCCAGAAGAGCCCATGTTGGAGCCCAGGTGAACTATGGAGTACAGGAAGGACCTGTAGTCTAAGCATGATTCTTCTTGGGCCTGAAGAGAGGGAGTGCTGAACCTCCCTTTGTACTCCTGTGGTGTAAAACCTTATGTTACATAGTTTTATTAATGCAAACCACTGCACTGTGGCAGAAGTAGTTCTGCTGTGCTCAAAATAATTCATCTGAGACAGTTTCTCAACTGATAACATATTAAGGAGATTGAAAGATTAAAAAAAAAAAAAGTCCACAATGACACAACCCAAGACAAATGTATTCTACAGAGCTGTCAGGGTCAAAGTTATAAAGAGTGAATTCACAAGCCCTCTGTTTTCCATAACTGCTTTTCTTCTTCTTTTTGCAGGGCTGCAGGTTGAACCCTGGGCCTTGTGCATGCTGAGCAGGTGCTCTATCACTGAGCCATACCAAGCCCTGATAAATACTTCTTGCTCATCTGAATAAACAAAGTCTTTTCCCCATAGTGTATCACAGGGTTTTTTGTTTTCTCCGTATGTTGTCTTATTATAAAATGACCGCTTATGGCTTTGGCTTATGGTGGCAGCACGATGAACAGGCAAGAGCCACCTCAGGGCAAGGGAAACAGGGTTTGGGAACAAAGAATGCACAGAGTAGACCTCATACAGGCACTGGAGACACTTTCTTTGCTTCTAGTTTTGCCAAAACAGAACCTGCTGGCCTCATATTTGTTGTACCAGCCTTCTGGCCTGAGACATCTTCAGTTGCCTTACCACCAATCACTCGCTCAATTGCTTGTTCAAAGTGTTTCTCATTTATGGAATCAGAGAGGTGTCTTGCAGCGATCAAAGCAGCCTCATTACAGACATTGGCAACATCAGCTCCTACAAAATGAGCATAGAGAACAGCTGACCCACCAACATTAACCGAGTTAACCTCTCAGTCAGCAGTGGACTGGCTAAGGGTTTTAGTTGAAATTATAGCTCAGTTTTATTCATAACTCCAAGCTATTCTAGTACTTAGTACTGGCCTGATACAATCTAGGCTCTCCAAAATGATATATACACATTAGTAGTGAATAAATAACTACAGACAACTATTATACTATAGGCCATAAAGCTACATAACAATAAACTAAGACAGTTTTTAGTTTCACCATTTCTGCTGGGAAGATGACTTATGTGCCTATTAGGTAGCATGTTTACATAAAATGATAAAGATAAGCATCAAAACATTCAAACAACTAAATGTAAACATTTTGGAAAGCATGCCAAGTGGTTTTTTTTTTTTTTTCCCCTTTTTTCTTTTTTTTTGGTTACAGGGACTGAACCCAGGGAGCCTAACCACTGAACCACATCCCCACCCTTTTTCATTTTGATACAGGGTCTCATTCGGTTGCTTAGGGCCTCGCTAAGTTGCTGAAGCTGGCTAAGTTGCAATTCTTCTGCCTCAGCCTCCCAAATCCCTGGGATTATAAGCATATGCCAACATGCCCATGCCAAATGCTTGAGATTATTAAGTGCCTTTAAATCAATTTTTCAAATATATATATATATATGTATGTATATATATAGTAACATGAATGAGCTACAGCACAATAAATGTGCTCAATAAATAAATATTAAGACATTACAAATTTAATTCCAAAGACAAGAAATAAGTAATTAGGATTCCTGGGATATTCAAGATGACTATATCTTCTGACCATACAGTTATATTCTCATAATTCTCATACGTTACTTTTCATTTCATTTTGAGTTTGGAAGGAGGGAGAAAGAGAATGAGGAAAAAAAGAATCTTATCTTACACTAAAGATTTCTTAGAATAAGCACATGAAAAGATACTCAATATCATTAGTCACCTGGCAAATGCAAATCAAAACCTAAATGAGATACCACTGCACACATTCTCGGATGATTATAATCAAATGTGGATAAGTACTGATGAGGAAGTGGAGAAACCAGCTGGTGAGAATATAACATGGTGCAGCTACTTTGGTAAACAGTCCAGTAGTTCCTCAAAAAGTTAAGCAGACTTCCCAATCCTAAGTACATAACCAAGAGAAATGAAAATATAAACCCACACAAACATCTTTAGATAAATGATATAAGAGCTTAGAGATGGAAACCACTTAAAAATCCATCAACTGATGAATGAACAAGCAAGATGCGGACTATCCACACAATGAAATACTATTTGGTCATAAAAAGGAATGCAGTTCTGATATCTGCTATAAGCATGGATGAACTGTGAAAACAGTGTGCCAAGTAAACACAAACTAGGCAACATGTCATGTAACTCTAGTCACACAAAATGTCCAGAATAAGAAATCTACAGAGACTGAAGGAGGGGTGTGGCTAGAGGAGGTAGTCCCCGGGGGTTCGCCTTTAGGGATTATATTTTGTCCTTGTTGAGCAGAGCTCTCTCTCTGCTTCCTGGAGCCATGTCCCCAGCTGCTTTCCTCTGCCATGTTTATGCCATGATGTTCTGCCTTACCCTAGGCCCAGAGCAACTGAGCTGGCTGTCTGGACTGAGACCTCTGAAACTGTGAGCCCCCAGATAAACTCCTCAAATTGTTTTTGTCAAGTCTTCTGGTCACAGAAGCAACGAAGCTAATACACCACTGAATTATATAATTTAACTGATGAATATTATGGCATGTTAATTTTATCTCAGTAGAATTAAAAAAAAAAAAGTACTTGGGAATAATTCCTTCAATATTTGTCCATTAAAAAAATCTGCCATTGGAGGGAAGTGGGTAAGGTACTAGACGTGAACCAGTGACCTTTCCTGAAGCTACTGATGGGTGCTGACAGGCTCACTATACTATCTCCTCTAATTCTATGTCAAAATTTCCCATAATTAAAAGGTAAAAATTACTTACGAAGTCCTAAGATGAGAGCATCCAAGTGAACTGGTACATGTCAGTGACTTAAAAGCACTAGAAAGAGCACAGTGACTATTTCTACTCACCTGAAAACCCTGGAGTTAAAGAGGCCAGTTTTCTGGCCAGCTTTTCCTTCTCCAGGGTGCTATCCAGTTTCAGTGGTCGGAGATGAACTTTAAAAATAGAGGCTCTTCCTTTTATGTCTGGTGGACCTTTGGACATTATTTTTAAGGAAAAAAGTCACAGTGAGACAGTCACATCTAAACCCACAGATGGTGGCACCAACCCAGTGGACATCATCTCACTGCCGCAGTCTGGCTGGGCACAAATCACGAGCCACTGAAGCAGGAACAAACTTTATTTTTGAAGTGCAAGAAAAAACCTCACACACTCTCCTGGGGAATTCTCCAGAATGCCACGCGGCTTCTCCAGGAACCCCCAGCCGGAAATATCTCTCTGGGAAATCCCGCCTCCTGCACTTCCCCAACCAATGGGAACTCTCGGGGAATTCCCGGAAATCCCCACCGAGAACTCCAAAATAGTGCGAGAACTCAAAACTAGCGGCAGAGGCGGATATTAATGCCTTGCCTGTCAATCAATACTGTTGGCAAAATGCCAGGGGCCAGACTCAGCTGTGGCTCTCAGCATCTCACCAATGAAGATCTGCCTGTCAAAGCGCCCTGGCCGCATCAGCGCTGGATCCAGGATATCTGGTCGGTTGGTGCCCGCCAAAATGACTACGTTTGTTGTTGTGTTAAAACCTGAAAAGATGATAGTGAAAATGCAACGGATTAAACAGCATGGGGCAGAGAATAAGTGCATCTGTGGAGAAGGATGAGCACCCAAGGCCCCAGCTACATTTAACATGGTTGAGTCACAAACCCGAACTGTTCTTACTATTCATGTTGTTCTTAACAACAAGAATCATGTATTAAACTTAAGAGTTCTTTTAAAATAATAACATTTATTTTTAACTGACATACAGTTCTACATATTTATTTGGTATAGTAGTGTATTTTCTTTTGGTACTATGGATTGAACCCAGGGGCAACTTGCCACTGAGCCACATCTCCAGCCCATTTTCTTTTAAGACAGTCTTGCTAAGTTGCTGAGGCTACTCTCGAACTTGCCATTTTCTGTCTCAGCCTCCTGAGTTGCTGGGATTACAGGTGTGTGCCATTTCAATACATGAATAAAATATTTGAAGATCAGCTCAGGATAACTGGCACATCTATTACCACAAACACATTTTGTTGTTAGAAACATTCAAAATATTTTCTAAAGGCAAATTACCAAAGATTTTAATTTACTCAAGTAGAAACTTACGAAATATTGTCAACTTTTGTGATGCCCTGGGCCACAGGAATAAGTAACTGTATATTTGAAGGCAAATATGTCAGCTCAATCTCCTACCTCTTCTTCCCACTGAGATGCTCAGTTCTAGTAGGTTCAATGTCTGGCCCACACATAACTCTTAGGACACTAGCACTGAAAGAGTTATTGGGCTGATTTGATCTCATCATTCTAAACTTGAACTGACTGCTATAGAATAGAACAGAACCTATATCTACTTTCTTTCCTTTTTTTTTTTTTT